AGCATCGGGAATGAAGCATCACTCATGCTTTTTGACAACGTTGTCTACACCGCTCTCGAAGCTGATTCTCCTGTGGGGAACATATCGTCCATCCTCGGCTCAACTCCTTCGCTGTCCTCGACGTCTTCCACGGCTCACTCGGACGCTTCAGGCCCACCAAAACATACGATCACAGCTCCGACTCATTCCATCACCTCCATCATCACAACGTGGCATTCCCGAATTCTACCCTCTGTATCGTCTTCCACTACACCACTTCCACCAAACGCTGCCATCAGTGGGATGCAATCGTCCTCATCTGACCTTAGCACCATCGCAGACGGTGTCTGTGGAGGTATCACTTTGTGTATCTCCGGGATTGTTCTCGCCGTTGTCTACAGCCGCTGCATTCGCGCCCGTACCGCGATATCTCCACGTGGAACCGTCTACGGCAACGAGAGCATCCCGGATCGCGTGTTCGAGGAACAGGTCAACAGGTGTTTGTCTCCAACCACATCGTATGAATCTTTTTCGTCTGCATAGACTTCATTTCTCATACCGTTCCCTTCAGCGTCGCACCTACACTCTCAGGCACCACGTGTTATGGTGGAGATGATTTGCCTTGCTACATATCGAAGGGATACGGTTTCAGCGAGAAGTTTATCTGGCAAGGTGGAAGGACCGAGTAGAGCATGTCACGAGTGCTACCACCATCCGGCTATCATACCCTCATCCCTCTGTCGCATACACACACCAGCTCCCTCACCCGGAGCACGACGCTCGCCCGCTCCGACGGACTCGGAAGAGCTCGCGGCGGTGCGAGAAGAGGCGATCGCGCTGCGGAGGGCGTTGGCTTGGGGGCAGATGAGCTACGAACCTGCGGACGCGCCCCTAGCGTACTTGCGGTAGGAGCCATACGCTGTAGTCGGGATGTGTGTGGACTATGGCAAGTTTGCGCGGAGAGAGATTTCGAACGGTAGCAACGCCCGGCTGCCCGGCTGCCCGGTTGTCCGTGGTGGGCATGTACGGAGCCCCAAAGAAACTTGTAACTGCTCAAATACGCACATATTTGTGGCTATTCCCGAGGATACAAGTATTCAAAACATTGTGATGCGCGATCACGTGGAGCGGGAGGATTCGACTTACGGCTGGTAGATGCACTTCTCGGAGAAGAACCCTGCAAAAAAATGCTCGTCATCGACCGGCGCAGCCGCCCGGGAACGACTCACCATCGAAGCCGGTGTTGAGATCGAAATCCTTCTGCTCAGCCATTTCGCGTGCCCGCTCCCCAACCTCACGCCAGATTTCGACGGCGTCGACAGAACCTGCACTTTGCTCGATCCACCACCACCGATGGGCACGGCTGAGCGGCTCTTGAGCGATGCGGTGCAACGCCGCGCACAGGGTGCTCGACGTCTGCGCGTCTTGGTCTGCTTCTGCATCGTCGCCCGTGCCTTTCTCCTGGGAATCCGAAAGGTGCTTCTCGATCTGGGGGAGCATCCCCTCAGAGACCGCGCAGGATCCCAAGCCGAGAACGCGGAGCGTCGGAGCCGCGTTGGCGAGAGCGGCTGGGAGTATCTCACGCAGGGCGCGGACGCGTTCGAGCTCGACGGTGAAGTCGCCATTCTGACTCGCAATGTCACTGCCGTAGGTGCGGATTGGCTTCGGATTGAGTGTGGCGTTGAAATAGACGGGGGACACGGTCGAAAGCACAGTGACCAGCGTTGTCTGCGAGCGCAGACGTGAGTATGCAAGGAATCTAAGGACACAGATGTCACGACAAGGGACGTACCATCAGCTCCGAGAACATGCTTGAGCACATCATGTCGCACAGGACGGTGAGGTGCAGTGTCCGCAGATGTCCAGCCATCCGCGGCCACAACAGCGGCCTCTCCAGCTCCGTGGGCGGCTGAGACGTTTGGGCGGGTCGCACGGTCACAGCCAGCTCCAGGCCTGACGCCGCGCCCGAGAGCAGCTCGAGAAGAGGACCGAGCACCCTCCTCGGCTCCAGGTCGGACGTGTCCACCCCGACCGATATGCCTAATACGCAGAGCCGGCCGATGTGGGGAGGTGGGCGGCACGATAAGGAACACGGGACAGCAAGCTGAGCGGGAGCTCCGGCCCACGGGAAGTCGCATGTGAGCGTGCGGAGGGCTGGCCACTCATGGCGGGTGAGGGCGAGTTCGAGGGGCGCATTACACTGCTCAACGTGGAGGTCGATGATGCTTGGGCAGAACGGGACGATCTCCATCGGGCATGAGAGCAAAGTGAGGTGACGGACGTTTGGGAGTGGCGCAAAGAGGGGGAAAGGGGACCCCAGTTGGTTGTCTGCGAGCAGCGGCTTCCACGGGGAGTCGGAGACGACGGCCAGCTTGGTGAGGCAATGGAAGGTGGAAAGTGCGTAGAACAGGTGCGAGAAGTGGCTGTTTAACATAGGCGGCTCGGACCATTCTAAAGAGATGTAGAGGTAACGGAGGGTGGGGGCGAGCGGGGCGAGCGCCTTGGGCAGTAAAGCGACTGTGAGTGTGGACACGTTGAGGAGGCGAAGGGCGGTTAGGTGGGTCATGGTGCCGAGGATGTCCAGAATGAGGGGAGCTCGTCGCACGTATTCTTCGGTACCTGGCATGGTTATCCAGCGCAGATGAGGGAGTTCTTTGAGCACCGCAAGGACTCGGCGGACGTGGCGCTTACTTCCTCGGCGGGAGGTCCATACGTCCGACTCCACAGCGTCCTCAGCAGGAGCCGTGCGGGCAGGTAAGTAGAAGTGCCAAGCGTAGTTTGAGCGAGGGGTTGGAAGGAATTCGTCGTGGGCAAGGAGGAAGTAGTTCTCGTCTGAGAACCGAGCCATGGTGGGCTCCGTGGGCAGGCGGGCGTAGGCGATGATATATGGCATGGCGAGGACGTAGAGCGTTTTGGAGGCGAGAGCGACGGAAAGCGCATCTTGGCGGTCGAGGAAGCTGAGGATCTGGTCCAGCTCGTCTTCGCACAGACGCGGTCCGAGCGCCATCCTGGGCTGCGAGTGAGTGCTGGACAACCTCCCTCCTGCGGACGTGGCGGATATGTATCGATCAGCTGGCGAATCGTGCCTGTTGCCGCTCGCGTAGCAACGTCGGAGTTGGTCGGGCAATCATTAATCATTTCAGAAATCGCCGTAATCTAATCTAAAGCGCGGCCCCTTGGACTGCCACGACCGTGGTCGTCTTATTCCCTTGTCCCAGACCTGCACCGAACCTTCCAACACTAGTTCCACATGCTCACGAGGATACTATCCCGGACTGTCGCTGGTCGCGCCCCCCATATCGCCAGAGCCCCCTGCGCTCGCCCGTTCGTCGCTGGTTGGAAACAAAATTTTCAAGAACGCGCACCGCGGCACCGTGAAGAACGACGCGCTCCTCTGCAGGTCATCAGTCGCAAGCACGCATGTATTGGTACGAATCCCCTCTGTCTTCTTCGAGCCTCCGAATACCAATAGCCCCGTGACCTCCTGCAGATGGGCAGACCGAGGTGCTGCAGAGGGATATCCGTAAGCCGCTCTTGTGTATCATTGCAAACCAGCAAGCTTAAGTCCTGTGTTTCAAGATACACCTCCGAGCACGACAAGTTCCTCCCTCTGGCGGCGAGACCGCATGCCGCGTGATACGCACCGCACGGAAGCTCGGGGTCAAGACCGTCACGGTATTCAGCCAAGTGGACACGGACTCGTTTCGCGTCAAGCTCGTACGTTCCCCCAGACAGCAGAGAAAATCGTGGGGGATTGAATCGCGGATGTAGGCGGATGAGGTGTATTGTATCAGACCCGCGTCGTCCGCGGAGAGCCACGTGAGTGCTTTCTCTACTGTATGCGCATGTTGTCCTCAAGAGATGGACTTGAGTACCCGCTGCGCATAGACACGATCGTGGAAGTGTGCCACAGTCGAGGCGGCGTGCAGGTACGTGTTCGCAGTTTTTTTTGCGCATATACCCACCTTGAGCATGATGTACACCCACGTTACGGCTTTTTGAGCGGGAACGCGGACTTTGCGGAGCGACTCGCGCTGGAGGGGATCGCGTTCATTGGCCCTCCGGCGAGTGCCATCGTGAGCATGGGCTCGAACAGGTGTGTGGTTCTTCCACGGGCAGGCGTAGCGGCGAGGCTAAGTGCGGAGACAGCGAGTCGAAGAATATTATGTCTGCTGCAGGTGCTCCTGATCCGGTCGTCCCTGGCCACCACGAGACGAATCAGGACCCCGACTTCTTGCAGCAAGCAGCTTCACGCATAGGTACGAGGGTCTTCATCTTCTCCTGCGCTCGCCTCCCCGCCTGAGACTTGCCACATAGACTACCTTGTTTTCGTCAAACCCGTCCAATGAGGTGGTGGCAAGAGTGTGCGCATCGTACATGCATTCGGCGAGTTCCACAAGGCGCCTGCTTCTGCTCAACGCAAGACGACGAGGTTGTTCGGCAACGCGCAGTGCTGGGCGGACGTTCGGCGTCGGTTTCCGCTGGTTGAAAGTTCAGGAACAATCGCTTGCAAGTCGAACACCCTGATCGTCGGACTTGATGTCATCTAGTGGCAACAGGCGAGTATTCGACTATTTGTACCTTGCATCTTGCTCATGACTTTTGCGCAGGTGGCAGCTGGAGATGCGCTTCTTCTCGACCAGTCCTCAATGCCACTCGTCGGGCGTGCTTTCTTTCGAATCGCGCCTATGCGCCGAGAACCCAAGCAACTTCCTACCCGACTCTGACCAACCCGCCTACCTATCCACACCCACGCCTACTCACATCTTCACGGCTCCGCCGGGTGCACACCGCACACCTCTGGCGGAAAGTAGCTCTCCGTCGCGAACATATCTGCGGTCATCGCGCCATCACTCCGCCTCGAGCAAAGATTCGAGCAAGGCAACCAAATTGGCTTCTTCTATTTGTCCATGGGCGCGATCGCACGGAGGCTACGAGGAAGCCGCGAGGCGCGCTGGAAGAGTATAGAGTGGTCGATGTGTCGCCGGACATCAAGTTCTCGAGGGTCCTCGCGGGAAACCAGGCGTTTATCGATGGAGACGTCCAGACAGATTCATTCCGGTAAGCCTCACCGCTTATTGCGAAGTCTGTATCAGCTGACGTATACTTGTAGAAACACCTCCACGAGCTCTTCTCAACCATACCTGAACCTTCTGATGAAGCTCTCGCGCAAGCCGTGTCGTCCTGCGCGACGAGCCAATTCCTGCTTCCTCCAACCCTGGGACGTCACTCACTTCTCGTGCTTCATCGCGACGTTTACGAGCACTACCATCCGCCAACCCAACACGACAGATCCCTCGCCCACCTATTCCGTCACCGTCCGCTCCTTCCCGTACACCGCGACGACCTCCCGCCCGGACGGCTTCTCGCGCACCTTTGCTGCCATATCCGCTGTGCTCGAGTCTCCCCTCACCACCTTCGTCGGCGCACATGCCCGCACGACCATCGTTCCACAGCCCGCCCCCGCCGCGGCGCCCGCGTCTTCGACGACCATCTCGTCGCGCGTGCACGTCTTCGCCCCTGGATCAGCCGCGCCCACCGCGCTCGTCCTCTCTGGCGCTCTCGACCGACAGGACGGGCGCGGGGCCGGGCGCGAAGGGGGCTGCGCGCGGCGATGCCGACTGCCGCTGTTTAAGTGCGCGTCGAGGTCGGGCAGCTCGTGGAGGTGGGCGCGCCAGTCGTCGTGCTGGAGAGCATGCAGACGGAGACGGCGCAGTGCGGGCGCCGGTCGCGGGAGTTGCGCGGGGAGATGGCGGAGGAGAAGCAGAAGTTGGTGGATGTGGAGGTGGATTGTGGAGGTGTTGAGTCCCACGGACGAGTCAGTTGCCCGATAGGGCGCGGAAGGCGTATGCGGGGTACGGGATCAATGTAGAGCGAGTCTCCTGGCGGAATCGACATCACGGGCAGAGCGGGACTGTGGCGCTCCGCCCTCAGGATCGAGCTCAACTTCCGCAGCGCAAGCATGCAGGTATCAACGATGTGCGCATCGAGACGGAGGATCGGTGGAATGAAGGCAGGGTCGAGCACACGGCTTCCAGGCTAGACGAGGGGCTGCGACTCTGCCGCGAAACACATGAGCGGTTGACGGAAAACATAAACGTCGTAAAGCGGGACTGTAAAGGAGCGGTATCTTCCGATAAAGCTCGACAATCTCACGCTGGTCCTTCACATTCCTCCCGCGCCTTCTCCTGTTCGTTGCGCTCACAACACGTCAACGTACCTTCTGTTGGACGTAAGCTCAACGCTCAGATTCATCATGGAACTTCAGAGTGGGTCATCCCATCATTAGTCTCTGCGTACTCGTCAGCTCACATTTGCTCGGTTGCCAGACCGCATAATCTGCTCCTTGCCATGCCTCCCGGTGGAGATTCTCAAAGTTATCATCGAGTACCGCTGGCGAGTGCATTCTTCTCGCAAAGAGCACCTCAGCATGTGTCACGCACTCAGAAAGGCCTCTCCAACATTCGCGGCGGTTATTATCTGGCTTGAGATGGAATATCCCCAGCTGTACATCGACTTGAGTGCTCCTCGAGAATACCTCTATTTTTCACCCCGCGCTGAACACATGACCGGCCAGGACGTCTCGGCCACTGCACACGCCGACTCGACACCCATCGTCAAGCATTTCTACGTCAGCATAGACACCTCCGGAACACATTCGTTTATCCAGGGGTGGAGCACACGTCTGGAGGACCGTGGCTATTTTTTCCCTATCAGCCTCCGGAGATGCAATTCCGTGACTCTGCGGCTCAGCGAAACGCCCTTGATGTCGAAGCCGTCCTACCACAAGTTCCTACACACCCTCGCCCTGCGTTTCCCGCGTTCACGCACCTCCACCTCAACCCCTAGGTGAATGCGAGCTTACTAGACTTGCACCGATTCACCCTCGGCGGTGCGACGCTAGTACCTGCACTCGTCTTTCTCCGGCTCTCTCACCCGCTCGAATGTAGATGCGTGGCGCTGAAGGGGGACCTGCACGCTGAGGACTGCGTTTTTTTGGCGTCGCTCAGGCGTTTCCCGCGCCCAGGCTGCAGGCACGTCGAGCTCGACGCCGTCGGAACGTTGGCCAGGGCCAAGCTCCCGTCGACGGTGCGACAGCTCACAATTGTCGCACGCCAGATGATCGTCCCGGGACACGAGCGGGAGAGCACGTTCGTCGGCTACTTGAGCGTCGTTGTTGCGGTACGACGTCTTTTGTGACCTTGGGGAGCGGGAGGGGTGTCGTGCGGAAGGTGGAGGTGTTGAGTGCCACAGACAATATAGTTGTACTGGAAGGGGTGCGGGATGCATGCGCGGAGCATGGTATCGTCATCGAGAGAGCGATAGAATACGCATAGCTAGAGCAACCCTCTCGCTTCATGGAACAAAGAAATGTACCGATATATGCGATATGAAGTTTGTTGTGCTGTTTTATGCACGCTCTTGCAGCCATCTACTCCTATGATGCGGGCCGCGCTACATCCCGTCATGTCATTGAACTGAGACGATGCCGGGTTTCTATTTACCGGCTGGCCGGGAGGACGGTCGGACGTACTAGGTGCGTGCTCGCGCGTCGCGGCACCCGATAACCACCGCGGTAGAAGGAGATGGACGGGTTGGGTGCAAGGGTCCGCGCTCAAGGGCGCGGCGCTGCGGGCAGAGGTGAACGAGCTTTGGAGCGCGCTCGCGACGCGCGTAAGGGGCTCGAGGAGGCACGTCGCCCCCGTGCGATGTAGAACGTCGCGGGGTACCGGTACGCCCTGCGGAGATTGACGCGAAGTTGTAGTGTGCTTCGATGCATATCGAGAAGAGAGAGACGTGTATGCGTGTTTATTATACACAAAGATAATGCTACGAAAGGGGGAACTATCAGGAGAGCACAGGACGCGCGACGGCGAGCGGGGGATGGGGACAGGGGCGGGTATTACACCGCGGACGCGAGTCATGGAAGCGGGCGAGATCGTACAAGCGCACGGAGCGAGATGGTGGGGCGTACGGTACGGCAGGCAGTCGGCGTGGGGATGACAGCTTGGGACCGTGGATAAAGCGTGAATCGTGGTTGAGTGTTACTACAAAACGATAAGATGAGAAACAGCGAGCACAGGCCGAGGGCGTACAGCACGAGGGTGATGCTTCTAGGGAGCGCGGTCCGCGGGATCACAAGAGGGCTACAGAAAATATACAGTCCGTCCATTATGGGTTGCTTCATGCGGCTGCGGCAACGGCGGTGACATGATCTTCCGGTCCGGCGAGGGCGCCTTCCGGGACGCCGCCAGTTAGACGAGAGTCGCCAACTTGGTGGAAGTCTGCGACACGGAGGTGAGGTCGAGCGCACGAGGACGTGAGAAAGAACGGCATACCGAGAATTTCGCTGTACATCATCACCTTCCAGGTATCGACGGGAAGGTCCGCATCGTTGAAGCTCCAGTCGAACTTCTCCGCAGCCTCGGGCTCGTCCGTGGGATCGTGGTATGGTGATACGTACTCGTGCGACAACGACTCGGTGGCGGTCACACGTTTCTTCGGGTCGAAGACGAGCATCTTTTCAAGAAGATCGATGGCTATATGCGCGTAAGGCGTTGAGAGAGCAGAGGTGATCGCGCGTATGCTCACCGACTGGATCATTGCAGGACAGCTTCTCGTTGAACGGCACACGTTCGCGCTTCGGCAGGCTCTGAACAAAGCGGAGAGTCTGCGGGCGGTGATGCGCATGGATGCCAACGCATGAAGGACGGACGACGTACGTTCTCGCTGGCAATCGTCTGGATGACATCCTCCGGGGGCGTTCCGAGCATCTCGGTGATGATAGAGAACTGATGAACGTCTATGGGGAAGGCAACGCGTCAGTGAGATGCAGAAGAGACGTGCAGCGCTACGTACGATCTTTGCCCGGGAAGAGGGGCTTGCCCTCGAGCATCTCAGCGAAGATGCAGCCAGCACTCCAGATGTCAACAGCAACGTCGTACTTCTGCCAAGTAAGCATGATCTCGGGTGCGCGGTAGTAGCGGGTTGAGACATAGCCCGTCATTTGAGGATCTTGGATCCGAGCCAAACCAAAATCGCAAATCTGGTGCGAGTGAGCGAGAGCGAAGAGATCGTGGAGTTGTATGCATACCTTGAGATCGCAGTTCTCGTTGATGAGGATATTGCTTGGTTTCTATATACGCGTATGTAAGACAAGGCATGGAGCAAGAGGGAGGGAGGACATACGAGGTCGCGGTGGACCACTCCAGCCGAATGGACGTACTTGAGACCGCGCTGGAAGGAGATCAGGGACGAAGATCGGGATGAGAGAATAGAGAAACTGACAAGAATTTGGTAGAGGAAGTACTGGATGAACTGCTTCTCGAGAGGACGGGAGGTGAGAAGTCGGTGAAGGTCGGTTCCGAGGAGCTCAGTGACGAAGTAACTGGGCGGAGTTGAGCTCGAGAGGGGAGGAAGGAATGAGGGGAACGCACATGTCTTCAAGAGGAGATATGAAGACATCGCTGAGGCTGATGATCTAGTAGAGAATGAGGGAATGGATGCACGGTGAAGGGGAGAAGAGCGCACATTCTCATGTTGGATGTGCTTGAGGAGCTTGAGCTCACGATAGGTGCGCTTGCTGAGGACGGGGGTGGAGAAGGGCTTCATGATCTTCTTTACTGCGACAGAGGAGCCAGTAAGCTGGTCCTTGGCGGAGCTTGGGGGCGTTGAGAGGGGGCGGGCTGAAAGGCAGGTGTAGCTTACCAGACAAGACCGAAGGCACCTAAGGGCGACGGGTCGGAAAGGTGACATCGGAGGAGATCACGAAGAAGACTCACCCATTCCGACCGGTTGAAGGTCAACATAGCGCGTGGTGACCTTGGAGGAGGGAGTTGGGGAGGCGAGATGGGGGAATAAGAGAAGATACAGACCTCGAAGGACGTGCCGAATATGCTGAGCTTGACAAAGGACATCGCGCAGGGCTACGGCGGGACAGAGTGGCGAATGCGCGGTTCAAGGGGAGGCGAGGGGGGAGGTGTAGTTGGAGGAGATGGGCGAAGAACGGGAGAGCGGAGAGGCAGAGCCGGGTGGGCCGTGGGCGATGGACCGTGCGGGGCTCGAGTGGGCTTATGTAAGCAGACTTGGAGTGGTCTCCCGTGCTCGATCGCTACCGCGCCGCGCTCTCTCCGCGCCCCCGGCTGGCTTTAGGACGATTTAGACGGGTGCAAGGTTGTCCGCCCATCGATCTGTATGTCTGAAATCTGCAGGGCGAAAGCGTTGTTTGGGCGCAGGCGCGATCGCTGTGCGGACGCGCTTATGCGAGCTATGACGTAGTTACTCCCGGATGACGTCGTCCGCCCTGGTTCTTCGTTTGCTTGCGCTCGTTGTCACCTGCTCGTCGACAGTCACCACTTCGTTCTGCTCGCCGTTGTCCCGCTCGCCGTCGTCCCGCTCGCCGCCGTCCCGCTCACGGCCGCATGTCTTCCTCACGCTCGCAGCACCCCAGGCCGAGCGAGCCATGTTCAACGAGCGGCCCCCGACCGCGCTAAAAATGGCAGGCAGGCGCCGACGGGCGCTCGTGATACGGCTGTCGCGTCGTCGCGTGAGCCGTGCGTTGTTCGTCCACGATCATGTCCTTCGTCCGCCTCGCTGCCCGTCCCGTCGTCCGTCTCTTCATCTCCATCGTCCTATTCGCCGCGCTCACGTCATCTCTCTAGCTTGCCAACGCGCGCCGGTATTCCACCGCCCCCGCGTCGGCCCCCAAGTCCAACCTTCCGCTCTTTCTCGCTGGCGGAGGTCCGTCTCTCTTCCGACATCCGCGCAGTTGCTCTTCGACTGATGCGTTTCGCTCGCACCAGGTGTCGTGGCTGTCGCGGGCTACTTCTACCTCAACGGCAGCAGTCAGCCTGCTGCTCTCGCAAAGCCCAAGATCTCGGACAAGAGCGCACTCGACCCCCAAAACTTTGTCGACTTCAAGCTCAAGGCCGTCGAGCCCTACAACCACAACACCGCAAAGTACGCCTTCTCTCCTCTTTCTCTCCCGCATACATTCCTCCTGCTGTTGCCGACCTGTCCCTGCCCAGGTTCGTCTTCGAGCTCCCGCCCGACACCGCGACCCTCCTCCCCGTCGCCGCATGTGTCGTCGTCAAGTCCTCTGCCGACTCCCCCAAACCCCTTCTTGACGGCAAGGGAAAGCCCGTCATCCGCCCCTACACTCCCATCTCGCCCTCTGACCATCCTGGCGAGCTCACCTTCCTCGTCAAGAAGTATGACACCGGCGTCATGTCCAAGTACTTCTTCGACCTCAAGCCCGGAGAGTCCCTCTCCGTGAAGGGCCCCATCTCCAAGATTCCCGTCAAAGGTGCGTGTCATCGCCCACCATCCGTCCATCTCACTTCGTCCTCACGCGAACGTACGCAGCCAACCAGTTCGAGCAGGTCGGCATGATCGCGGGCGGTAGCGGCATGTAAGTGGGGGGCTCCCGGTCACCATCTCCCCGCGCTGACGCGTGCCGTCCTGCGCAGCACGCCCATGTACCAGATCCTTGACCACGTCCTCCAGGACCCGGAGAACAAGACCAAGTTCACCCTCATCTTCGCCAACGTCGCCGAGCGCGACATCATCATGAAGCAAGACTTCGACACCCTTCAGAAGAAGTACCCTAGTACCCTCAACGTCGTCTACACTCTCGACAAGCCCGAGGCTGACTGGAAAGGTGTGTGCTGCACGTTGCTTGACGAGCCGGGACGGTTGCTGACGCGGCTTTGGTGGCTGTAGGTGAGACGGGTTACGTCAATGCGGACATGATCACCAAGCACCTCCCGAGCGCCAAGCTCGGCGAGAAGACCAAGATCTTCGTGTGCGGTGAGTCGCTCTCTGGGCTGTCGGGCGTGTGCGGTTGTTGAGAGTTCGTGTATATGTAGGTCCCCCCGGTCAGGTTGCGGCCCTCGCGGGTAAGAAGGACGGCATGAAGCAGGGCGAGCTCGCTGGCACTCTCAAGGAGCTCGGTTACTCGTCTGACCAGGTGTGTTTCTGCACGATCCGTAGCTGCCCTTTCTCTGATGCTCACTCCTTCCGTGCAGGTGTTCAAGTTCTGATAGACCACTAGAGTGTTTCGGCCGCCCTTCCGCGTCCGCATGTACCACATATGACAGCTAAATCCATAACTCTAGCATACAGCACTGTGCGCTACGGCTGTTCCCCAGCAGCATTTGACAGCAAAATACGGGTGTTACTGTGTTGAGTTTTTGAGCGGGACAAGCGCCTGTTGTCGTCACTGTGCGGCTCCCCACCTGCGCCGCGACATCTGTTACGGGGGCACGGGCCGAGGCACAATCTGTTGAAGTCGGGAGAGCGCGGGGCAAGCCGCGCGCGAGCCCGAGAAGGTGTCATTCACTGGGAAGTCTGTCCGCCGGACGGATGTGTTGTGGAAACAAGGTGAGCCGCCCTTCTCCTCACCATCCCCATCACGTCCTCCCGACCTCGCGCGTGTTCTGAGAGCCCCACTTCGCAGTGTGTAGCAAAGCGCCTAAAATTGGTCCGTTTGTCCGTCCGGCGGACGGAATTCCAAGTGGACGACACGTTCTCCTGCACCTAGTACATCAGTACATCCCCAGATCTCTGAAAACGTCTGTGCAGAGGTTTAAGATGTTGTGAGATGGTTTGAGACAGTTTGAGACATCCAGAATTTCTCTCACCCCGCATCTCATGTGAGATGTTGTGTGAGAGATCTCAGACCGGCCAGATACATCAGATGTCCAGAACTGCTCTGCTTGCACTGCTGCAATTGCTACACACTCGGGGACACACAATTGATATTTTGTAATTGGACTCAATTCAATGATGTATTAGAGCGGTACTACTTAAGCGTGTGCAGACAGGGTCAGGTATTAGAGTACTGCAGTATGTGGCCAATCGGCTCGTAGAGGTTGGTCGAAGTCGAACCCGACGATGCAGGTGGTGAAAGGTGGAACAACCAGGTCTCGAGACGCACAACGACAATGTCGGTGGGTTCGCATTCCCGCAGCTGCAGGGATCGCCTGGGCCCGACGCTGTGGGCTTCCCGCGCGACAAGGGTCCATACAGCACGCAGGTACCACTCGCACTCTTCGTACCCCAGCAGGCCGCTCAGCCTGGGGCCCAACCTGTATGGTGCGCCATCGTCACCGCCGAAAGTGTGCTGCGCATACGGCAGATTGCGGACACCTTCTCCGTGGCCGCTGGTGTGTGCGTGGTCAGGTTCGGGGGGAGCGAACGCGAGCGAAGTAGCGAGCGGAGCGAGCGGATGAGCGTTGCGGTCGCGGTATGAAGAGAGGTGCACTCGAAAAGTGGCAAGATCTGGGGGTTAGGGGGAGCGAACGCGAGCGAAGTAGCGAGCGGAGCGAGCGGAGCGAGCGGATGAGCGTTGCGGTCGCGGTATGAGGAGAGTGCACTCGAAAGGTGGCAAGATCTGGGGGTTTCCCCTCCAGAGACCTTTCGACTTTATGCAGTCTCATCAGGCCTATATTCGAGTATGTCAGTTGGTGTACTAATACTTGCAAATGGATCAGGTCACGGTCTTACTTACCGTAATCGCAACGATCTCATTCGCTCGCTATTCTCGTACGTTGCAGTCAGCATGTCCGACCGGGATATGTATGTCCGATCGGGGATTGACTCAGCTATTTCCAATTGATAGATTGGCAATTGGTTAGGTTAGGCAGGAGTAGACGCGCCCGAACGGAGCCGACGAAGGAGGCGGAGTGAGGAGTGCGGCTACGGGTGAAGAGAGTGCTCGAAAGGAGGCAAGATCTGGGGGTTTCCCCTCCAGAGACCTTTCGACTTTATGCAGTCTCATCAGGCCTGTTATTTCGAGTAAGTCAATGATGTACTTATACGGGCGAATCTGAGCAACTTTATGGCTCTACTGACCGTAATGCACGGCTCATGATTCGCTGCTATTCTTGTGTCTCGTAGTCAGCATGTCCGACCGGGATATGTATGCCGATCGGGGATTGACTCAGCTATTTCCAATTGATAGATTGGCAATTGGTTATAAATAGCCGCTTCTGGAATGTCCTAGAACATGACGTCAGTGATCACCTGATATGATGTCATGGGTCCCGTGATTGATCACGTGATCCGTCCCGTGCATCCCCGAACTGGCCGAGCGGCCCGCCCGGCCCGTGCGGGCCGTGAGCGTCTAACGGCCCGCCTTCCCGTTGTTAGGGTTCGGCTAGGGTTCTGTTAGGGTTCGGTTAGGATTAGGGGTTCCTTAGGGTTAGGCTGTTATGCCGTGTACATTCATCAGTTACGATGTATTCAAGCCAGCAGTTAGCCAGCTGATGTACTCACGTTAGGAGTTAGGGTTGTCTCGGTCTGAGTCTGAAACGATCACGGTTAATACCGTCTGTGCGCGAGCACAGCTAACGGAGTACTTACGAGATAGCAAGTGTATCTTCATGGACGAAGATGCGAAGAGAAGTTTGGAGCGCATGCGGTACGGGCTAAACTGCGAGCATTGCTCACAGACCCAAACCGTACTAGCAGAGCCCGAGGGTTGCCGTACGGTCGCTCGTTCCGTCTGATAGAGGGATGTTAAGTACCGTAAGAACTCGCAAGTCCCGCGGAACCCACCCCGAAGGGGTGCGAGGTACGGTTCAACCCGAGGCCCTTGCATGTGTCCGATCCTGCCCGTCGATGTGGTACATCTAGGCTAGTGGAATTATGCAAGTAGAACATACCGGTGTCGTCCGGTATACCTTTGTTCGCTGTCCATCTCGGTCCGTTTGACTTGCCGCGGGTGCAGCGTGGTCTTGACTTCATGGCGATTGAGGTTCGGCAAGGTACTAACGAACGTACTAGCGAACTACTAACGTCCCTTTCCGGGGGTGTTCGCTAAGTGTTCGGTAAGTGTTCGCCTGCGTACTGGCAGGGAGGGTCCGACATGGTCCTCGTAAGGCTTCCGCCTAAGATCGCACTATGATGGTACAAGGCCCTGCTAACAGAGCCATATCAGATGGGGAACGTTCACGGGGGCACTGCCTACATGAATCGCTCACGGTCTCTTTCTTCGCTGGATGACCGCCGGTGCAAGTTTGGACGTGTAGATCTATACTCAGTATAGGCGTCCTGCGGTAACGACGATGCCGTAGCAGCCTCGCGCGGGACATACCCGGGAGGGAGCACGACTAGGTCGTCTTCGCTGTCGCTTTCGGCGGCGCGCGGCAGAGATTGTTTGGGTCGCTTCATTTTGGCTTCCCACTCGGCGTAGTCGAACGACCTTGCACGCGGCCGCCCCGCAAGCGAGGTGGTGGTGTAGGTCTTCGGCTTTCCGAACGCCGAGGTCTCTGCTTCATCCATCTTCTGGAGAACCTGCTTTTTCCAAGAACTAGCAAGGTCGAACATATTGCGTCCACGCTTCCGTGACACAAGCATTCGTGAGTTGGTTATTAGTATTTTGCGTAGGTCGGGGACGTGTTGCACTACCGCGCCGTCTGGGTCAGACGGTGGGGCGCGAACGTCCGAGCCGTAGCGACCCTGAAAGGGGATCGCCACGTCGTACGCAGGGAACTCTTCACTATAAGTTCCCAAGGTGGCACGTTCGTACCACTCCTTCCAATATCCAAGCATGGTTTCTCCAAGTTCCATGGCTGAAAAGTAATTCCATACAGGGTTGATCGTAGACTTCAAAACTAAGAGCGGTTCGTCCGAGCTTGATGCTTCGTTCGATTTCTCTACTAGTCGCTTTTCCCAGCGCTCTAGTGCGTATCTTTGAGTCCATGCGTTGATCAATCTGATCGGGTAACCTCTACGTACGTACAGGGATACTAGCTCCTGCACGGCCCTAGTGTACGTTGACGGCGTACTACTTAGAGTGGCTAACCGAGACAGTTCACCAGAGAACGTACCGCGTTTAACGTCGATAGGGTGGTGGCTTATCCAGGGAATTCTTTCCATGTGGTTGTGGTCCTTGCGGAATGGGCGATGTTGGAGGACACCAGCGTCATCCTTATAAATCGTCATGTCAAGGAACGTGGCCGAGTATTCGTCGACCTCCCACGTGAACGCGCATCCATCGTACTTTATTTTTGACTGTATATGTGTAAGCGCGTCCTGCGCGGTCTCTGCGTACACTATTGACAGTAAATCGTCGATGTAACGACCATAGAACGGAACGTTCGGGTCGCTGGTAATACCGGATAGAAGTTCGAAATGCACACCGTAAAGGTTTGCGAGATCGGGTGAATCCGCGACGCCCATTGCTAGGCCTCGCACTTGTTGATAGTATTTACCATTGAAGCGGGTTATAGTCTCTTGTTTCCTACGTGCAAGCAATCATGGAAAACCTGATTGTATCGTGCGCATTCGCGCTAGGATCGAATTCCGAAACATAGGGATCCTTAGGGTCAAACGTGTAAAGGCTTGAATCGCCATTGTACTTGTGCTTAAGCCACATCGAGTAGACTATCTCGAGGCAGCCGTCTAACGGTACATTGGGTAGAATGCGACGACGTCGCCGGTGACTATCCACCAGCGGCGACTCTTGTCGAGGGGGAGACGACTCAATTTTATCGCCAAGTCCTTAGATCCATGTATAATGGTCGGCGCCGATTTGATTATCGGTTTGAGTTCTTTTGATACAAACTTCGCAGCGGGGTTGATGATAGCCGAATGACACGGTAGAATCGGTCGGAAACCAGTGGGTTTCTTATGAATCTTCGGGATTCCGTAGAATTCCGGTACCGGGAACATTCCTGTTTTGTCGTCACGAATACATTTGGACAACAGAAACTTATCGACACCAAGCTCGACTAGCGATTCGACGTTAGACATCGTCTTGGCAATGGTTTGTATGATATCGTACTGTTTTCGAGGATAGATTTACGCGCAGCAGTGAGATGCGGAGGTAATCTTCCTCGTTATCGAGTAGACCTTGTGTTTTCTCTATGATCCAATCACGCTTTGATACCGCGAGGCCGAGGTTCTTATCAGTAGCAGTACAACATAATCGTTGTCAACCAAGAACTGACGCAAACGGGCAGGAGAAGGGCTAAGCGTTTCGAGTGGCGCTCTCCAGTTGTTGACAAAGTCCGTTTCGGAAGTTTAGCGACGCTGTTTAAGCAGAACGCTTTACCTTTGGCAATGCCGTTCGCGATGAAGGCTGGTAACTTATCCATTTGCACCGATTTCTTACTTTTCGGTGAACATGATAGTCTGGATCATATGCGCTGTCGTGGCCCTTATCAAGGGCGAATAGAATTTTCCATACAAGTCGGGACGAAAACTCGTTCCAAGCATCCATAATCAATTCGCACGAAGCGGGGCAGAGTACAGTAACGAAGACCAACAGATAAATCATATGCAAATGGGGGGCACTACAACCCCCGGGGATACGTGTACATGTGCCGAAAACGGCTCGCCTCAATACGCTAATGGGGTATTTAAGAGACAAAATCACTGCATCTGAGTGAGATAGGGTTAGTATCTCGTCTGGAAGGGTGAGAGGGCGGCCGTGAACGTACCTGGTCACTTGCGTGCCTTGCCCTTCCCCTTCTGGTCTTTGTTGCCGCTTGCCTTCTGCTTGGCGGGAGCGGTCTTGGCGGCGGCCTTGGCAGCGGCGGCCTTCTTGTTGCGTCCTTCCCGACGCTCTTGAGTGTGCGAGCTTTCGCGAGGGCGTGGGTGTGGACTTCGGCTTCTTCTGAGCCTGAAGGTCCTGGACCGGACGGCGACGCCTCCCTTTGACGACTGCCCCGGCTATGGAGGCAGGAGAGTGTTGGTGAGCGACTAAGAACAGTGTAGAACCGTCCGAAGCACATACCTTGTACTGGGAGTACGCCTTCATGCGAGCGTTGACAGCCTTGTCGATCAAAGACTGGATCGAAGCTCCGACGTGAGAGGTCGGAGGTTTGATGTTCGCTTCCGCGACGACGGCCTTCTTCTTCTCCGCCTTTCGACGACGAGTCGCGCTGCACTCCGCTGGAGAGTGAGGATGCGCATGGCGAGAGAGCCGAGGTCTTGGCACAGGGCCTCGAATTCGATGTTCGAGACGGGTCTGTCTTCCAGTCGGAACCTTGATGTCAGTAACTCGCCGTCTTCCATGACGACGTCACCGTCCGTGGTGCGGTTCTTGACGAATTCGATGACCGGGACTTGACAGTCGGCGGCCAGGACCTTCCATCTTGCAAGGACGGGGGTCTTCAGGGTTCGACCAGGCGGTCGGGGGTAGCTGATGCCTGGTAGTGTGTGACCTCGTCTTTGAGGAGGCGTACGCCTTCACCAACCAGCGCCTTCTCGTACTCCGCACGAAGCGTTTCCAATCGGGCAAGGCGCGACGCAGACTCCTCGGGCGTAGCCGCGAGGAAGTCTTTGTACGCCTGCAAGTCCCGCACGTTGACCCTAAGCCAGTGGGGAGTGCCTCCGACGTCGCCAACCGTCCGACACGAGCCGTGCAGCCGCGATGTGCTGGAGCGGGCCTTCTCGAGCTTCTCGGCAAGAGTGGCAATATCGCGAAGGGGGTCGGCGAGTTGACGGCGGTAGTCGACCGGCACAAGGCCATGACTTGGTCAATGGTTGCAGCCGAGTGAACGGCCTGCATGCGCATGTGCCTTGCGGCTTGAACAGCGCCGGCGTGGGCTCCTTCGACATCGCTGTCGGGAATTCCCCTCGCCTCCATAACCGCCTCAACGACGGGAGAGAGAGCCGGGCAAAGGTGCCCATAGAGTTGGAGGAGGTGGCAGCGGAGGAGCGGGACATGGTGATGGGCAAGAGGGTGATAGGTCGCGTGGAGTAGTGGTTAGGGAGGAGTAGACGCGAGCGACGTAGCGAGCGGAGCGAGCGGAGGAGCGTTGCGGCTACGGATGAAGAGAGTGCACTCGAAAAGTGGCAAGATCTGGGGGTTTCCCCGCCAGAGACCTTTCGACTTTATGCAGTCTCATCAGGCCGTAATCGCAACGATCTCATTCGCTCGCTATTCTCGTACGTCGCAGTCAGCATGTCCGACCGGGATATGTATGTCCGATCGGGGATTGACTCAGCTATTTCCAATTGATAGATTGGCAATTGGTTATAAATAGCCGCTTCTGGAATGTCCTAGAACATGACGTCAGTGATCACCTGATATGATGTCATGGGTCCCGTGATTGATCACGTGATCCGGCCCGTTCATCCC